TGTATATTGCTTTTATTATATTTAGGTATGATCCTTGTATCCCCAGTCTCTCCAACACCTTTATCATAAATGGGTGTTGAATTTTGTCAAATGCTTTTTCAGCATCCAATGAAATGATCATATGGTTTTTTCTTTCAGTTTATTTATATGATGGATTACATTGATAGATTTGCGTATGTTGAACCAGCCCTGCATCTCTGGGATGAAGCCTACTTGATCATAATGGATAATTTTTCTAATGTGTTCCTGGATTCGGTTTGCCAGGATTTTATTGAGAATTTTCGCGTCGATGTTCATGAGTGAGATTGGCCTGTAATTCTCTTTCTTGGTTGTGTCTTTGTGTGGTTTTGGTATTAAGGTAACTGTAGCTTCATAAAAGGAGTTTGGCAATGACTCTTCTGTTTCTATATTATGGAATACATTAAGGAGTATAGGTATTAGCTCTTCCTGGAAGTTCTGGTAGAATTCTGCATTGAAACCATCTGGTCCTGGGCTTTTTTTGGCAGGGAGATTTCTGATAACAGCTTCTAATTCTTCACAACTAATAGGTCTATTTAGATTGTTCACCTGTTCTTGGTTCAACTTTGGTATATGGTATTTATCTAAAAAAATGTCCATTTCTTTTACATTTTCCAACTTTGTGGCATATAAACTTTCGTAGTAAGTTCTAATGATTCTCTGAATTTCCTCTGTGTCTGTGGTTATATCCCCCTTTTCATTTCTGATCCTATTAATTTGCATGTGCTCTCTCTGCCGTTTGATTAGTTTGGATAGGGGTTTGTCAATCTTGTTGATTTTCTCCAAGAACCAGCTTTTTGATTCATTGATTCTTTGGATTGTTTTCTCTGTTTCTATTTTGTTGATTTCAGCCCTCAGTTTGATTATTTCCAGTCTTCTACTCCTCCTGGGTGAATCAGCTTCTTTTTTTTCTAGAGCTTTCAAGTGTGCTGTTAGGTCTCCAATGTGTGCTTTCTCCATTTTCTTTATTTGGGCACCTATTGCTATGAACTTTCCTCTTAGCACTGCTTTCATAGTGTCCCATAGGTTTGAGTATGTTGTGTCTTTGTTTTCATTAAATTCAAGGAAGACTTTAATTTCTTTCTTAATTTTGTCCTTGACCCAGGGGTGATTTAGTAGTTGACTGTTCAACTTCCATGAGTTTGTTGACTTCCTGGGGGTAGCATTGTTGTTGAATTCTAATTTTAATCCATGGTGATCTGACAAGACACATGTGGTTACTAATATTTTTTTGTATCTGTGGGAGTTTGCTTTGTTACCGAGTATATGGTCAATCTTCGAGAAGGTTCCATGAACTGCAGAGAAGAAGGTATATTCTTTCCTATTTTGGTGGAGTGTTCTATAGATGTCTGTTAAGTCCATTTGATTCAATACCTCCAATAAATCTCTTAATTCTCTGTTTGGTTTCTGTCTGATTGACCTGTCCATTGGTGAGAGAGGAGTGTTGAAGTCTCCTACTATTAGTGTGTGTGGTTTGATGACTGCCTTGAGTTCTAGAAGAGTTTCTTTTACATATGTGGGTGCCTTTACATTAGGGGCATAGATATTCAGGATTGAGACTTCTTCCTGATGAGTTGTTCCTGTTATGAGTATGAAATGTCCATCTCCATCTCTTCTGATTGATTTTAGTTTGAAGTCGATTTTGTTAGATATTAGAATGGCCACACCCGCTTGTTTCTTAGGTCCATTTGCTTGGAAAACCTTTTCCCAACCCTTTACTCTGAGTAGGTGTCTGTCTTTGTGGTTGAGGTGTGTTTCTTGTAAACAGCAGAATGTTGGATCCTGTTTTCGTATCCAATCTCTAAGTCTGTGCCTCTTTATAGGTGAATTGAGTCCATTGATATTAAGAGATATTAATGACCATTGGTTGTTGACTCCAGTCATTTTTTGGGGGGGGGGTAATAGAGTGTATGTGTTTTCCTTCTTTGAATTGTGCTAGTGAAGGGTCGCTAAGATGTCTGAATTATTGTAGTCAGTGTTGGCAATGTTGGATTCCTTGGGATGTAATTTTCCTTCTAATATTCTCTGTAAAGCTGGATTAGTAATTACGTATTGTTTAAATTTGTTTTTATCCTGGAATATTTTGTTTTCTCCGTTGATAGTGAACGAAAGCTTGGCTGGGTAAAGTAGTCTGGGCTTGCATCCATGGTCCCTTAATTTCTGCAGTACCTCTATCCAGGACCTTCTGGCTTTCATGGTTTCTATAGAGAAGTCTGGTGTAAGTCTGATAGGTTTACCTTTATAGGTTACTTGACCTTTTTCCTTTGCAGCTCTTAATATCCTTTCTTTAATCTGGCTGCTTTGTGTTTTGATTATTATATGGCGAGGGGATGTTTTTTTCTGATCCAGTCTATTCGGTGTTCTGTATGCTTCTTGCACCTTCATAGGAATATCACTCTTTAGGATGGGAAAGTTTTCTTCTATAATTTTGTTGAATATATCTTCTGGACCTTTGATCTGCAATTCTTCTCCTTCTTCTACTCCTATTATTCTTAGATTTGGTTTTTTTATTATGTCCCATATTTCCTGAATGTTTTGTGATGAGAATTTGTTGGATTTGCTGTTTTCTTTGGTCAGGGCGTTTATTTTCTCTATGGTGTCTTCATAATCTGAGATTCGTTCTTCTATCTCTTGTATTCTATTGGTTATGCTTGATTCTGTAGTCTCCATTCGTTTACCTAGATTTTCCATATCCAGCCGGCCCTCGGTTTGTGTTTTCTTCACTGCCTCCATTTCAGTTTTCAATTCTTGAACTGATTCCATTACCTGTTTGATTGTTTTTTCTTGGTTTCCCAGGGTATCATTTACGAATTTACTCATTTCTTCAAACTTTTTGTGATATTTGTCTTCCATTTCTTTACTCATTTCTTCCATCTTTTTGTTATATTTCTCTTCTATTTCTTTAAGTGAGTTATTCATACCCTGTTTAAGAGACTCTATTGCTTTCATAATGACACTGTTTTCCACTTCTTCCGGAATAGGGCGTTCAAGTCCTTCTGTCGTAAGATCGCTGGGATCTGGTGTTTTCATGTTGTTTTTCAGATTGTTGGAGGAATTCTTGCCTTGGCGCCTGCCCATCTCTTCCTTCAGATGCTCTCCAATGGCTCTTCCCTCCGCTGGGTCTTCTTCTACTGGATTAGTGCCCCTTGCTATCCAGGAATCACTTTGCCTGCAGCCTTAGCTTGCTGCAGGCAGGCTATTAGAACAAAGGGACTTCCTTCCCTTTGCACTCACCACCTGTCCCGACCCGCGGTGCCCACCCCGGCTGAGATGGAGGAATTTAAGCCCCGAAAAAGAAAGAGGGGACGGGAGGGGTTCCAGGCAGAAAGCTGGGATGGCGTAGCAGGAGAGAGGGATTAGCTGGGGGGCTGCCCCTTTGGAGTAGCCAGGGAGATAAGGATGGCGGGAATATTGAGTGTTCCCTAACCGGACTTGTATGGCAGTCAACACACTTACCCCTCCACAGGATCAGAGCCCCTCGCTGGTCAGAAGACTCGCTGCCTGCAGTCTTAGCTTGCTGCAGGTCGGCTATCAGAACAAAGGGACTCCCGTCCCTTTGCACTCACCGCCTGACCCGGCCCGCGGTGCCCACCCCGGCTGAGATGGAGGAATTTAAGCCCCGAAAAAGGGAGAGAGGACGGGAGGGGTTCCAGGCAGAAAGCTGGGATGGCGTAGCAGGAGAGAGGGATTAGCTGGTGGAAGCTGCCCCTTTGGAGTAGCCAGGGAGATAAGGATGGCGGGAATATTGTGTGTTCCCTAACCAGACTTGTATGGCGGTCAACACACTTACCCCTCCACAGGATCAGAGCCCCTCGCTGGTCAGAAGACTCGCTGCCTGCAGTCTTAGCTTGCTGCAGGCCGGCCCTCCACAGGATCAGAGCCCCTCGCTGGTCAGAAGACTCGCTGCCTGCAGTCTTAGCTTGCTGCAGGCTGGCTATCAGAACAAAGGGCCAAAAAATATTTTTAAATGAATGGGAATGAACACAAATTGTAGGAGACACCACATTTCTTAGCTGGAAAATGTTGGAACCCATTATATATATTGTGTTATGTCTTAGATGCTGTTCTATCGCTGTGAAGAGACATCATGACAAGATAAAAGAAAGCATTTAATTGGGGGCTTACTTACAGTTCAAAGGTTTAGTCCATCATCATGGCAGAGAGTCTATAGGCATGCTGGCAGGCATGGTGTTGAAGAAGTAGTTGAAAGCAACATCCTTCTCCACAGACAGAAAGAGAAAGCCACACTGAGCCTAGTGTGAGCTTTTGGAAACCTCAGAGTCCATCCCTAGTTATACACCTCCTCTAACACAGCTGTACCTTCTCCAACAAGGCCACACCTCCTGGTCCTCAAATAGTGCCACTCCTTGATGACTAAGTGTTTAAATATATGAGCCTATGGAGGACATTCTTACACAACCACAAGCTAGAATCTGTCTTTGTCTCATAGTCCTAATTTGTATATAAAGCCATAGAGATTAAGTAAATTGTATAGAATTGTTTGTTGGAACCTGGCACTCAAAGCCAGGTCTGCCTGATTCTCCAACTTGTATAGTTATGATGATATTTTTACCTTTTGTCCTCCAGTGACTTAAACATTTTTACTTGGTTAATTCCTTTAATTGGCATCTGTGAAAGAAACACTTGCTATTTTCCTTCTTAGGAAGAGATAAGTGATTCAGATGTGAACTTGGAAGCTCTTCAGAATGACGATGAGACTGATGACCCATTGATGATTCTAAAAGCAATCTTATTGCAGGTAGAGTATTTGTACTTATTAGTGTGCAAGTAATTATTATAGATGTATTGCTGTGTTTGTGTATATGATGTAGTTATATGTATGAGAATATCAGATAACATTATTTTAAGGCTACCTCTAAATTGGAATATGGCTTCATTTTAACTTTTTTTTTTTTTTTAGATAGGGTCACATTTTTTTATAATCAGACTGGCCTTGAACTCACAGAGATCTGCCTGCCTTTGTCTCCCCAGTGCTGGGGATTAAAGGTGTGTGTCACCACACCCTGATTTGTTTTAATTTAATTACTAAGTGCAGTGACTCTTTCCTCTAATCTCTTGTTTTGAGAGCATGAAACAGAAGAAATGCCTTGAATTTAGGGCCAGCCTGGGCTACAGAATGAGAGTCTATTTCAAAGAAAAAATCTATTTGTCCTGATACTAGAAGCACTAGCAAAAGGACAATTACCAGGAATGTGGCCCAGTTGGTAAAGTGCTTGTCTAGCATACACAAGTCCTGGTACCACATAAAGTGGAATATGAAGTGCCATAGTGCCATATAATACCGGAGCTTGGGAAGTGGGAGTAAGAGGGTCCCATTATAAGTTTGTGCTCTAGGGAAGATGAGCAGGTGCACTCCTTTTGCTCCCTTGAATTTGTGGTATCATTTCTCACCAGATGTTAACTGACTATATTTCTTTCATAAGGAGGAGGCCAATCAAATTCCTGTTGATCAGCTGGGCCAGAAACTCTTGAAAAAGACAGGAATATCTTGGAACAAGAAGTACAGAAAACAGTATGGAGCACTAAGAAAGGTAGTGCTGGTATCAACATGGGCAGTCATCATCCCAGGAAGCCATACCATGGTCCTAGCAGCACAAGTTCCTATGTAGAAGGAGCTTTAAAATAGATGAAAATAATCAGTGTTTTTGTTGAGTGGTTGGAATTCTGCTGGTATATTACAGATCACATACAATGTATTTAGAGTATTTATGAAAACGTAAGCAGGAAAAGAAGTTGTTAATCACAATGAAGTTACTCTAAAGCTCAGTAAGTAGCAAAGCCAGTCACCTCGCTTTAAATCATCTGGGTTTAAATGAGACTCAAAAGCGAGTGCTACCAGAAATGAATCAACTTTACAGAGAATAGAGCATTTACCTGCTCTTGGGAGTGTTGAATGAGTAGTTAGACCACCAGAAAAGCTCACATTCCACTACTCGAATTTGTTTTGTAATGATGTTGTTTTAGAGAGTCTATCTATGATCTCTAATTTCCTGTCATAAAACTTGTTCAGAATGCCCCGTATTATCCTCTTAGTGTCTTTAGAACTTGAAATTTTGAGCTTCTTTTTTATTTCTGATGAATAAGATTTATTTCCTTGTTAATTTCCTCCCATCAGTGTTCATAGGGGGTTATTGAGGTTATTGTCAAAGACTTTTCAAAAAAGCAGCCTTTGCTTTTGATGCAATTATATATATTGCTGTTGATGTTCTCTATTATCTGCTTTCTGTTTTATTATGTTCTTATTTTTAATTGTTTCTACTTCAAGAAATTTAATTCACCATCTTTTTGTAGTTCCTAAGTCTTCTAATGCATGCTTTTAAAGTTAAGACTTCTTGGTAAGCACTAACTTAGCACTATAACCTTCTCTTTATCACTCAGTTTAACTTGTGTAATTTCCCGTGGGTGAAAATGTGTTGTTTAATTTCTAAATATTTGGGAATTTCTAATATCTTTTAATTTTATCTGCAAACTGATTTTTTTTGGCTAAAACTATTGTGCTCTAAGAACATACTACATATGACCTCATTTCTTTTGAATTTAGAGAAACTTATTTCATAACTCAGAGTATGGTGTGTTTTGGAGACATTGTTTTCTGCAGTTGGTGATGTCGTGTTTCATAAATATCAATGAAGGGGGTGGAGAGATGACTCAGCCATTCAAGGCTAGGCTCACAACCAAAAGTAAGCATGGTAGTGATGACACAAATGCCTTTAATCTCAGCACTCGGTGGGGGATGATGGGCAGAGACAGGCAGATCTCTGTGAGTTCGAGGCCAGACTGGTCTACAAGAGCTAGTTCCAGGATAAGCTCCAAAGCTACAGAGAAACCCTGTCTCCAAAACAAAACAAAAATAAGTATCAGTGAGGTAGGTCAGTTGCTTAAGAGTGGTATTTATTCTCTGCCTTTACTAATATTTTTCCTCTCAATTATTATTGAAAGGTATTTTTAAGTCTTCTAGTTATAATTATGGGCTTGTCCCTTCCGTCTTTAGTTATAGCTAGTTTTTATATGTATTGAAACTGTATTATTATGAGTATGAGCATTTAATATTATTACAGCCTCCTGACATCAAACGTCCTTCTTAATCTCTTCTCTTTTTTTCTTTTTTTTTATTATTTCTTAAAAAACTACCAATCCAAATTCCCACTCTCTCCCCTCCTCCCTCCACAGACCCCCTCCAACCCTAAGGAAGTGCCATGCACCCCGCCCTGTGGAAGGTCCAAGGCCCTCCCTGCTACATCTAGGTTGACCAAGGTTTACATCCAAAGAGAACTGGATTCCATGAAGCTGGTATATGCAGTAGAGACATATCCCAGTGTCACTATCAGTGGCCCCTCAGTCTGCACCAACTGTCAACCCCCTTCAGAGGGGCTTGGTTGTTCCCATGCTCGTTCACTCCCATTCGATTTGGAGTTGATGAGCTCCCATTAGCTCAAGCAAACTGTCTCAGTGGATAACCCCTTCATGGTCTTGAATTCCTTGCTCATACTCCTTCCACTCTTCAACTGGATCTTGGGATCTCAGTCCAGTGCTCCAATATGGGTCATTGCCTCTGTTCCCATCTGTTGTTGGACGAAGGTTCTATGGTGATATTTAAGATAATCATCAGTCTGACTACAGGGTAAGGTCAGTTCAAACACCCTTTCCTCTATTGCTTAGGGTCTTCACTGGGGTTATCCCTGTGGGTTCTTGGGCATTTTTCTAGAACCAGGTTTCTTGCTAAATTCATAATGGCTCCATAAATCAAGATATCTCTTTCCTTGCTCTCATATCTGTCCTTCCTCCATCTCGTCTATTCCATTCCCTCAAGTTCTCCTCAACCCCCCTCTCCCCTTCCTTCTACCCCCTGCCCCTGTGCTCACAAATTTTTGTCTGATTCTAATTTCCAGGTGGGTCTATATATGTTTTTCTTTGGGTTCACCTCATTACTTAGTTTCTCTAGGATCCTGAACTATAGGCTCGTTGCCCTTTGTTTCTGACTAGTATCCACTTATGGGTGAATATATACCGTATTCGTTTTTTTGGATCTGGGTTACCTCACTCAGGATAATGTTTTCTAATTCTGTGCATTTGCATGCAGAATTCAAGTTGTTGTTATTTTTTACTGCTGAGTAGTACTCTAATGTGTAGATGTGCCACACTTTCTTTATCCATTCTTCAGTTGAGGGGCATCTAGGTTGTTTCCAGGTTCTGGCTATTACAAACAATGTTGCTATGAGCATAGCTGAACAAATGCTTTTGTAGTATGTTTGAGCATCTTTGGTGTTTATTCCCAAGGGTGGAATTGCTAGATCCTGAGGTAGATTGATTCCAAGTTTTCTGAGAAACCGCTACACTGATTTCCAAAGTGGTTGCACAAGTTTGCATTCCCACCAGCAATGGATGAGTGTTCCCCTTGCTCCACCCTCTCCAGCATAGGCTATCATTAGTATTTTTGATCTTAGCCATTCTGACAGGTGTAAGATAGTATCTCAAAGTTGTTTTGATTTGCATTTCCCTGATAGCTAAGGAAGAAGAACATGTCCTTAAGTATCTTTTGACCATTTGAAATTCTTCTGTTGAGAATTCTCTGTTTAGTTCAGTACACCACTTTTTAATTGGGTTATTTAGAATTTTAATGTCTATTTTCTTGAGTTCTTTATATATTTTGAGATCAGTCCTTTGTCTCATGTGGGATTGGTTGGTGAAGATTTTTTCCCATTTAGTAGGCTGCCTTTTTGTCTTATTGACCGTGTTCTTTGCTTTACAGAAGCTTCTCAGTTTCAGGAGGTCTCATTTATTTATTGATGTTCTTATTGTCTGTGCTATTGGGGTTATATTTAGGAAATGGTCTCCTGTGCCCATGCATTGAAGGTTATTTCCCACTTTCTCCTCTATCACATTCAGTGTGGTCAGATTAATATTGAGGTCTTTAATCCATTTGGACTTGAATTTTGTGCATGGTGACAGATATGGATCCATTTTCATTCTTCTACAGGTTGACATCCAGTTATGCCAGCACCATTTGTTGAAGGTGCTTTCTTTTTTCCATTGTATCTTTTTGCTTCTTTGTCAAAAATCAGGTGTTCATAGGTGTGTGAATTATTATCTGGGTCTTCAATTAGATTCCATTGGTCAACATCTCTGTTTTTATGCCAGTCAAGCTGTTTTCATTACTGTAGTTCTGCAATAGAGCTTGATGTCAGGGATGGTAATGCCTCTGGCAGTTCCTTTGTTGTACAGATCGTTGTAGCTATTCTGGGTTTCTTGTTTTTCCATATGAAGTTGAATATCGTTCTTTCAAGGTCTGTGAAGAATTGTGTTGGGATTTTGATGGGGATTGCATTGAATCTATAGATTACCTTTGGTATGATTGCCATTTTTACTATGTTGATCCTTCCTATCCAAGAGCCTGGGAGATCTTTCCATTTTCTGGTATCTTCTTCAATTTCTTTCTTCAAAGACATAAAGTTCTTATCAAATAGGCTTTTCATGTCCTTTGTTAGTGTTACCCCAAAATATCTTATGTGATTTGTGGCTATTGTGAAAGGTAATGTTTCTCTGATTTCCCTCTCAGCTTCTTTATTCTTTGTGTATAGGAGGGCTACTGATGTTTTTTGAGTTGATCTTGTATCCTGCCACTTCACTGAAGGTATTTATCAACTGTAGGAGTTCTCTGGTAGAGTTTTGGGGGTCACTTATATACGCTATCTTATCATCTGCAAATAACAGAAGTTTAACTTCTTCCTTTCCAATTTGAATCCCCTTGATCTCCTTATGTTGTCTTATTGCTATTGCTAAAACTTCAAGAACTATGTTGAAGAGATATGGAGAGAGTGGACAGCCTTGATTTGTTCCTGATTTTAGTGGAATGGCTTTGAGTTTCTCTCCATTTAAATTGATGTTAACTGTCATCTTGGTGTATATTGCTTTTATTATATTTAGATATGATCCTTGTATCCCTAATCTCTCCAAGACCTTTATCATGAAGGGGTGTTGAATTTTGTCAAATGCTTTTTCTGCATCCAATGAAATGATCATATGGTTTTTTCTTTCAGTTTATTTATATGGTGGATTACATTGATAGATTTGCGTATGTTGAACCAGCCCTGCATCTCTGGGATAAAGCCTACTTGGTCATGATGGATGTGTTCTTGGATTCGGTTTGCCAGAATTTTATTGAGAATTTTTGCATCCATGTTCATGAGTGAGATTGGTCTGTAATTCTCTTTCTTGGTTGAGTCTTTGTGCGGTTTTGGTATCAGGGTAACCGTAGCTTCATAAAAAGAGTTTGGCAGTGAGCCCCCTGTTTCTATTATGTGGAACACTTTGAGGAGTATAGGTATTAGCTCTTCTTGAAAGTTCTGGTAGATTCAGTATGAACATTTAATATTGTTACAGCCTCCTGACATCAAACGTCCTTCTTAATCTCTTCTTAATCTCTGTCCTGTGAGGTATACTTGGTGAAATTACCTGTGGCGAGTGAGAAGAAAACATGGAACCCACAACAAACCCACTTAGGAGTTTATTAGAGGGAGCATATACAGGCCTG